CGCCAACATTGTTTGTAGTTCTTCACAATAGACATCTGCTGATATTGATATACCGGATTTCCAAAAGCTATAGTGAATTACACAATGAAGTGACCACCAAACAGTTTTAATAACTTTTATATGGGTGAGCTATTCTTTTTGCTTAGGTACGTCATTTTTTCGGTATTTAACCGGATTTTTTTTTTGCTTTCGATTATCCTTAAGAATCCACTTTTCATTACACGACACAATTCTGTTCAAAACGCTTTCACTTCTGTATCAACTCCAAGCTCCAAGCACACCAGTTACGTCATGAGCCCCCATTTCTCAATATTTTTTTTTATTTTACCAATTTCTTGCAAAACAGTCAATATCACACAGTCCGTTAGTTAGTCGTATCCTCTCTTAACGCAGCATTGATATTACGAGTTGTCGATATTCGAAAATTACTACACATTTTTGAGGACTCCGTGTTTAACTCAAAACGCTGAATATAAAACAATTGAAAGTCAAACAATAGAACTGCAATTTCACCACCGTTGCACCATTGCATGACATCAAGTGACATTCTATTTCGCGATAATTTACATTAACATTAGATTTATTTAAAACTACTTAAAAGTTTCTGAATCATGCCTTGTAGCGATTAGGACAACAAAAAATAATTCGTCGCTTTTGATCCACTCTTATATTATTTCGCATTAGGCTGGTAATATGTCGTTTTGATACTTCTTAATTTACATTCTTAATATACGCGGGTCTAAAAAAGATTCTGGCCCTCAAAGCTGATTTTTTGACTTCAAACGTGGATTAAAATTTACAATTCAAAATTTACATCCTGAGGAAATCTAATTTACTTCATTGTTTCGCTGATGGAGTGGCTTAAAAGTAGATCTCAGAACAAAGAATTGTTTCTTTTTTAGATTATGAAGTTTGGAATTAGAAAATATTTTACCTATTTTATTTACTTTTTGTGCGTTTTGTGTGCAAAAATTACGTAATATTCTATGTATGTAATTATTCTAAGGCAAAACTCCAAGCCTGCTGACATTACATGACATTCTATAGATAGATTATGTTGCAAATAAAGTAATGACAGTAAAATGCATTTATGTAAATTATTAAACAAGTTTATCATCCCATTACAAAACCTTTTTTAAGTTATAGAAATTTATTTTTAATAGAAAAGTTTCTTTACATTACATTACATTATGTATAACAATACATTTAGTAAACATTTTAAACCTTAGAATGAAGAAAAATAAAATAAGATAAAAACGTATTACTGAAATTCGCAAAAAAATGAATGTTATAAGTAATCATAACAACCTAGCGGTTTTGCCATTACCATTATAATAATGGTGTATTACTACATAGGCTACGATATTTAAATACTTTTATAATTAGTCAAGTGCATAGAATATTTTAGTTCCACAAGAGCAAGATAAATATAATCATTACGATTTACGACTGAGTCCGATGACGCTGCGTGTAGGCTAACAGCACTAACATTACGGAAACTAGACACGGCTCCGTGGCGCAGTGGCTAAGCGATTGAGTTGCAGCGCTAAGGGCCGCGGGTTCGAATCCCGCACAGAACAAGTATTTACGTATTTTAAAACAAAAAAGACATTACTTTTCATTTTTTTTGAGGCTTCAGTAGCAATGTGTCCTAGAGCATGATGATGACTTTTGCTTCATCACCTTGCAATTTTTTTTATTTAGTTCGTTCTTTAGTATTTCATTAAAAAAATCTTAAATTTCACTTCTAAAGCCGTGGGCTAAGAGCTTGCGGCGCTTGTTCGACGGTGAGGGAAAAAACATCGTAAAAAAAATTTGTAAATATAATTTAAAAATAAAAATTTTGTACTGTCGACTTCAATATAAGATATTAAGAATAACTCAAAAACCATTGGTCTGACCTTGATCAAATTCATATGGGACCACACGAGAAGTACCAGCTTTCAAATAAAAAAATAATCATCGAAATCAGTTTACCCAGTAAAAAGTTATGAGGTAACACACATAAAAAAAAACATACAGTCGAATTGAGTACCGTCTCCTTTTTGGAAGTCGGCAGAAAATATGTGAAATCCAACAACACGCCTTGGCGGTGGATCTACTTCACGCTGGTATTCTATGAGGTCGTGGTACCACCCCGGTTCGAGCCGGCCCGTCCGTGTGACAGCAAAAGCTGCCACGTGGCTCTACCACTGTTAATTTTTGCGTTACGGACAATCTTTGTTTCAGAGAGCACAAGGGATCTGTGACAAAAAAGATCTGGCCGCCGAGCTTCAGCACGTCAAGCAAGTTTTCTAAGACAACAATCTTTAGGTCCGGCGCCTACGTTACAGTGACCGAGTGAAGCCAGTCACAGTCGAGCGTATGCCTTGCTGTTCTACTATATTACGTCAGAGAAGTCACAGATAAGATTGGGATATCTTTAAGCAAGCTTCCATTTAAAGCCACCCGAAGAAGATTAGTCAATTTTTACCATCTGTCAAGTGTTAAATCCCTCTACAATACGCAGAAGTGTACAAGCTTATTGTGAATGTGGTCTCTCTTACATAGGACAAACAAAAAGATCTATAAAAACTGCGTAAAAGAACATAGCTGACGTCACCGACGCTCTGGGAAGTCTGCAGTCTATGAACATGTTCAAAATCGTTTCCGCTATTACATCAGACTTGATAAACCACAAATCCTCGCAAAAGAACACCAATTCCTACCAAGGATGATACGCGAGGCTATTGATATTAAAAAAATATCCTAATTACAATAGAGAAGATGGATAGGTGCAACCATCTGCATGGGATCCTATCTATACTATACTATAATATAATAAAGCTGCAGAGATTTTGTTTTTTTTTTTGTTTGTTTAAACACGCTTATCTCTGGAACTACCTGTCTGATATAAAAAAAAATTGTATTTTATGGCTAGATTGATGACAAATAGTATAGGCTATCTAGCATTAAGCTATACCTCTCAGCTATGGTAACAACTGACTTATCTTCCCATGAAATTTAAAAAAAAATCCGCTTCTTATGATGAAGTATAGGGGAAGAAGTTTCACATTGAACTCTTGCTTAAGTAATTTTTGATTTTCTCCTACTTCCGGTTAACTGATTCTAACGAAACTTGGCTCACTTCACTTGAATTCACAATACGAGGTATTATGGTAAACAGAAGCTGATCTAGTAATGGAAACTGAAGGTATTAGAGGAGAATTTCTCAAAGGTGTAGGGGAGAGGCGTACAAAATGACATAGGTGGGTCAAATGACATACCTACTTTTCTCCGAAACCACACATACATTACACGATTTCTCGGGCCCTGCCCGCAGGAACAGGGTAGTGTAATAAGAAACAGGGAGTCAGGGTCCCTAAACAGGGCGACCGAGTGGTTCCGACCGCCCTGCTTCCCTGCCGCGCTGTGGATCGTGTAGTGTAATAAGAGACAGGGAGGCAGGGAGCTTAGTTGCGTGGCCGCATGCGCGGAGTCTACACGTTTGTTTATTTAAAGTTCTACTATGTCGATCTACTCTCTAAATCATTACTCGTATTTATGTCATGCGCTAAAGAAAAAGATCCTTCTCAATGTCATCGACATCTACAAAGAAATGCCTTATCAAATCTTGATAGGAGTTTCCAGTGGCCAAAATCGTAAAGTGACAACAAATCTCTCTTAAAAAAGTATTCTTTTGAATAAAACTTCTTTTACGGATTCTATCGCGTTTAATTTTTTTTTATTAAATCCCGACGTTTCGGGTGCTTTACCACCCATGGTCACGGGGGACTGGTTGCTGTAAAGCATCCGAAACGTCGGGAATTAATAAAAAAAAATTAAACGCGATAGAATCCCTACAAGTAGTTTTATTCAATGTGTAGTGTTCGCGTTAATATAAGAAATCATTAAAGTATATTTTTTTCTATTAAAGGCGTTACTATGCTTAATAACTCGTCGAATTGGTTTTCACCTACTCTTTAAAATAGTTTCGTAGGTCTGTTGGGTCCAAAACGCTGACTATTTGCATATTCGATAGTTTTTCTCTGAGGAGCAAATATTTTTTCATCCACATTTAACTTTCCTTCCTTTTTTAGCTTGGCCTTGCACGTTACCACCAGCCAAAGTTTTTTTTATGGGATAGGGTGACAAACGAGCACACAGTCCACCCGATGGTAAGTGGTTGCTGTGGCCCATAGACACCTACATTTATCCTCGTATGCGAATCAAAATGCAGATGCATTGTCACCCGTGAGGACTGAGATGGAATGCCTCTTTTCCAGTAAAAAGGGTCTCCGGTTCTCTACACTCACCATACGAAACACAGCAGTGTTAAGCTGCTATTTTACGCTGGTATTCTGTGAGAGCGTGGTCCTTCCCCGGTCGAGCCGACCCATACGTGCTACAACTATACTACTAATATAGCTGTAGCATGGCTCTACCACGTAAAAAAAACAATAAAACAATTTTTTGACGTTTAGATAAAGTCTGCGCCATAATGCTAGACGTGCAATCATTTCCACGTTCGAGTAACAACTGAGGCAGGAAGCGATTTCTAGCGTAGTGTAATAAGCAGTCACAATGGCTTGTAAAGGATCGCTTAGTAACAGGTCGCAACCTGTGGCAGCACCAGTTGCGTTCGTTGGGCCGTGTGGTGCGGACAGCGGACACATGTTTGTTTAATTTTTGCAGTCACGAGTTATAAGCAGGTGGATTTTGTTTCTCGTACAAGTAAGTAGTTTTTACTTTAATTTGTTTTTATTTAGCATGTATTTATTGTAATTTTACTAAATAACTTCGAGAATGTTTTGGAAACTCAAAATTCTAGTTAAATTTTTAGTTATTGTTTTCTAATGTTGAAGGTTATGAAGTGGACAAAATGGCATACAACTTGTTCGGGTAAAATAGCATACTATGTCATATGACCCACCTTTTTTTTTCTTTTTTCCAGATAACTGTACATCATGCCACGCAACTATTCTATAAAAACAGACCGACAGGATTGGGATAAAACCTCCATGGAAAAGGCTATTGAAGCTGTAAAGAAAAATGAAATGGGCTGGCTATTGGATTCTAAAGCGTTTAACGTCCCACAATCGACTCTTAGAAGACATGCACTGAAACAAAATAAAGTCTTAGCTACAATTACAAGAGGTACCTACTTAGTATTTTTTTTATTTTCGCGTTTTGTTCGCATGATTAGAGCGGATTAAATCACGTACTTTTGTTTTATATATGGGTAGGTACAGGAGTGTCTTCACATATGAAATAGAACGAGAACTGGTAGAACATATTAAATTACTAGAAACGAGATTGTTTGGATTCTCAAGAAAGGAAGTTTTGGAATTGGCGTACCAGTTTGCAGACGTTAATAATATTCCTCATAACTTCAACAATGAAAAAAAATGGCAGGCAAAGAATGGTTGGCTGGATTTCGACGCAGACACCCGGACATATCCTTGAGGAAACCTGAAGCGACTTCAGCTGCAAGAGCCCAAGCCTTCAACAAGCCCCAAGTAGCACTGTTTTTCAACACTTACCAAGACATTATTCAGAGCAACAACATTTCTCCTCATAAGCTCTACAACGTCGATGAGTCAGCATTATCAACAGTCCAGAGACCCCAAAAGGTCTTTGCTACTACTGGGCGTAAGCAGGTTGGGGCTTTGACTAGTGCTGAAAAGGGGTCTCATCTGACAATTGTTTGTTGCATGAGTGCAAATGGCCATTTTATCCCGCCGTGTTTAATTTATCCTAGAAAAAATATGAAACAGGAGTTGATAGACGAAGCTCCTAGCGGTACTATGGGTATTGCGCAGGAATCAGGTTGGATGACAACAGCTGTATTTTTTAAATGGTTGGTGCACTTTCAGTTGCATGTAAAAGCGAGTCTTGATGACAAAGTGCTTTTAATAGTTGATAGACATATCAGTCATAAAGGTATTGAAAGGTAAACATTCGCAAAAGAGCATGGAATCATTATGGTGTGCTTGCCACCTCACTGCACGCACCGCATGCAACCATTAGACGTATCTTTCTATGGTTCATTGAAGACTTATTTTAATCAAGAAGTGAGCACTTGGTTAAAGAGCCATCCAGGTAGAGTTGTTACTCACTTTCAAATAGGTGCAATACTCAACAAAGCTTATGGCAAAGCAGCAACGGTTCAAACTGCCGTCAATGGATTTCAAAAAACTGGTCTCTGGCCTGTTGATCCATACATATTTCCAGATTATTTGTTTGAGCCTGCTGAGACGACAAACATTCCCATGCAACAAGATCGGGTAGAGCCCGAAGAAGATTCAACGGCAGCAGAAAACCTAGGCATACCCTCAGCAGGTCCATCTCAAGTAGAAGCAGGGAGTTCGACATCACTAATAATTGCAAGCACATCAGCCGCAGACAACCCACGTCCACTCTCAGTAGTCCAATCTAGAGACACAGCTACTGCAATACCTACGACACCCACATCATCTAAATTGATACTCCAAGAAATATCTCCAGTGCCAAAAGGAATTTATGTGGCTGGACAAGGTAAAAGAAAACCACGCAAGAAACCAACAGTATTGGTGTTAACTTCAACGCCAAATATAGAAAAGGCAAAAGCAAAATCAGCTCCTCCACCTGTTCCAAAGAAAAACACGAGAAAGGTTACAAGCTCTGGATTTTAGTTCCGACAGTGAAAATGATTTCTCTTCCTTACAAGCTCACACTGAAGCCGGAGACGATGATGAAGATTGTCCTTGCATTTATTGCAATGATCTCTACTCCAGGTCCAAGCCAAAAGAGGTCTGGCTAAAGTGCTTGAGCTGTAAAAGATGGGCTCATGCATCATGTGCAGATGTTCCGAAAAATACAAAACGTTTTACGTGTCAACTCTGCATGTAATCGACTGATTTTCATAAAAAATTTGGTATGCCATTTTGTCCACATCACGTGTGTCATTTTACCCGCCTAGGGTGGACATAACGGTTTTTGTTCAAGTTTGAAAAAATTATTAATAATTTTATTGTTTTGCACTAAGTTGATTGATCTCTATAATTTTAATAGGTAATGAACCAAAGAATACATAGTTACTTAAAGTGTTCACTATTATTAATAAATATAGATTTGATGACTGATTTTATAACTAGTATGTCATTTTGTACGCCTCTCCCCTATATACGTAAATCACTCAATAAGTTTTGAGATGCTCGAAATTTAAAAATGGAACACCCGTGTTATATGTTTCTAAAAAGCAAATTTATTTAAAAATAGAACTCCATAAGCCAATTACTCAATATTAAAAAAAAAACAGTTCTATTAATTTTCCTGCAACGCTTCCCGCGCTTTTCATTAAAATGATGGATCTTAACCGTGAACATTTGCGCGCTATGATAAATTATGATTTTAAATTTGGTTTAACCGAACAATTAAGTTAACAACGGTTAGAATCAGCATTAGGGGACTCAGCTCCATCACGCGCAACAATTTTTAGGTGGTTTGCTCAATTTAAAAGGGGTAACTAAAACTTAATCTTAAAGATAACCAAAGAACCGGGGCCCGCAAACAGCAGTAACGGCAGAAAATGTATGGACTACTAAAACTCACATATATGGAAATCACATATACGGACATCGAAACGTTTGTAGGCATTAGTTCGGGGAGCATTCGTACCATCCTACATCAACATCTTGGAGTGAGGAAGCTTAGTTGTCGATGGATCCCTCGTTTGCTCTCCGAAAGCGAAAAACAGACTCGTGTGGATTGGTGCCATGAAATGCGTCTACGTTTTGAAAACGGGGCATCTAGGCGTGTTTCAGAAATCATTACTGGTGACGAGACATGGATCTATCAATATGATCCGGATGCAATCCGGATTCGGAGGCAATCATCGGTATGGGTCTACTCAAAAGGACAGTTACCGACAAAACTGCAAGACCCCGCATCGTCGGCAAAAAAATGGTGACTAGTTTTTTTTCGCGAAGCGAACATTTGTCGACATCAATGCTGGAAAATTGTAGGTCAGTCAACTCTGAATGGTATACTACAGTTGCATTACCCAAAGCTTTTCAAGCTGTGCGGGAGAGAAGACCAAAGACCGGACTTTGGGGAATCATGCTGCATCACGATAACGCCTCTTCACATACCTCCCTTCGAACAAAAGCATTTATTGAGGAATCTGTTGTTGAAACTTTAAGTTACCCACCTTACAGCCCTGACTTAGCTCTTTGTGATTTCTTTTTGTTCTCAAGAGTCAAAGAAAAAATAAAAGGCAAGTTTTTTTCAAGCGCCGAAGGAGCCGTGGCTGCCTACGAAGAAGCGATTTCCAACCTGTCAGATCAAGACTGGTAAAAGTGTTTTCAGAGTTGATTTAGGCGAATGGAACTTTGTATAGAGCATGGTGGAGAATATTTTGAAAAGATGTAAAATAAATGTTAAAGTATCTTAAATATTTTTTGTATATCTCAAAACTTATTGAGTGAATTACGTAGCAGTTTTTTGTAGCGTGTTCCGACCTTTATGATTTGTCTATACGAGGACTTTAGACGCTCTAATGGAGCGCCCATATATCTAAATTATCAAGCAGACTTAGTTCTGCAGCATACGAAATATTAGATGTCTCAGCAATGTTGTAACAGCTATATTAGTTTATTTTAGTTACTTTCATAGCGTAATGTCTTGTTGAATTTTACTATGAGGTACGCTAATAACATTGAAACGATATTGTTTTGCAAAAGAGGGCCGTACGGGCAATTTACAACTTGAGTTGTAAAGAGTCTCTCAGTGATAAATTCAAAGAAATAAAACATATTATCGTAAAAATATTTATTACAATGTAATGTATCTTTTAAATAAAAACATGAATAGCTTTGATAAGAAGATGTTCATACTTTACACACTAAGAACAAATATAAGCGTGTAATACCAGTTACTTGACTCCACAAGATAAAATCCCAGAATATGTTCAAAGCTTGTCAGTCAAAAAGTTTAAAAATTTTATTCAAGAAAAATTGTACAAAAAGGGTTATTATAATATTAAGAAATACATGAATTAAAACAACCCCCTAAGAATGAGGTGATCGCTACAATGTTGGTTCTACTATAATTCATGTAAAAATTGTACAAGTAAATTGTAAAGTTATATATGTTTAAAAAAATATAATCTCACTGTTTTTTGCTGGTTCTTCCCAGGACAGATTAGGCTTTCTAGGAGTTTTGGTCTATTTAATAATCAACGGCAAAATACTCGTTAATCGAAATTAACTTAACTTTAGAACGAATGTTAGAACATAACTTGATTTTTAGTATTATTTTAACTAAAAAAATTGTCTTCGTTTTTTCTTATTCTTTTTGCATTATATTCCAGCAACAAATACTCTCGTTTTATACGCCATGGTCGAGTTTGTTTTAAAGTTTTTACTGCTCTTCTCTTTCTTTATAATCTAATCTTTATAATAAAATAGCAGTAATTCAATTTTCTCGAAAATCGCAATTTTAGCAACTAATTAGCAAGAAATTATGCGTGTACAATTTTAAGGTTTCTGCTGACTTTTCACAAGGAGCAAAAAAAATCGGTGACTTTTTCACACTCGTAACCACAATGAATCTATTCATCTTCTTCTAACAAACCGTTGCTAGCCTAGGTGTAATAGGTAAAAGAGGTATGTGTTGAACTTTAGGGCAACTTCACCACAGGCGGATCGCTGCTCCTGTTTTATCGTTTATTTTATAGGATGTGAAGAGAATTTTGATGTGTAAAAGTGGTGCATTTTCGCGTATCATATTATGTCTGGACATGTAAACAATCAGTGTAAATGTTGTAACAAGTACTTCGATGGTAATATAAATTTCAGGTTTTTTTAATGCACTTAGGGGCCTTTAGATATTATTATCATCAACTGTTTGCTGGATCAAGCTGTCGCTATAATTACTTAGGAACTTACTGGTAGACCTTAATAGGCGAATGGCTACAACAAAAAAAAAGGATTTTCTCCTGTATCGTGGGATACTTTTATCTAGGTGGCTTTAGATACTATCGCCTTCAGCTGTTCTTTGGATTAAGCTGTCATCAAAATCTCACAAAAACTTTATAATGTGATGCATTGGCATCATATTATTAAAAAAAATCTTTCTAAACAAAATGCACATCAGATTAGGCTCTGTGGTTTAATACGATTGCCTGCTTTAATTGACCATTCGTAACAACAAGCAACTGTCAGCTGTCATCTCTTTCAAACTTCAGCAAACTCACTGAAATCTTTAGAAAAGTTTTGCTTAAAGTGAGAAAATTGATAATATTTTTAAAGAATAAAGTATTAAGGTTTTTGTATAAATTATATATTTAAAATTAATAGTAGTAAGCTGATTTATGTTTTATGTCTTAAAATGGAAGAGGTTCCTATCAATAAATTTGCATTATCTTTCGAAAACAATCGCGTAAGTAATTCAATATAATATTTATTATTTATGAATTATTGGTTAAACTCATTATTTTTATATGATGCATGATGAGTTATTCTAATTAAAAAGAAATGATATAAACGTAAAATTAAATATATAGTTTTTGATATATAGTTATTATGAAGTTTATTGTTTTCTTTAACTAAATTTACTATTTGTAACTATATTTATTAAATCGTATGTCCTATTAGTTACGTATTTTGTTGTATTATTTATTACACATTAAATACTTAAGTTATGTCCCTGGTATGTATTACATTTATTTTAATTTTCTGTTTGATTTCATATTTAACTATTTATTTTAAAAAAATCAATTAATATTTTTTAGGAAAATAAAAAATCAAGTTAAATAGAACAATTAACGATAAATATTATTTTTAATAAAAATCATAACATATTTTCTTAACTAATAACAAATTAAATATTCAAACACATAACTTGAAACACAGTTTATAATTAAAATACATAATAAACAATTAAGCACCAAAGGGAAACAACTTAGAGAGTTTAGCATATGATAAGTAACACTTCTCTACTGACATTATTCTTTATTTAATTAACTGTCACATGCTGACAAAGTGTAGGCATTAATTTAGTTGTGAGTTACTTATAAGTGACTTCTCCTCTGTATCCAGTTTCTGATCAGACTTATTAATCATTATACAATGTTAAGAAAATGTTAGTGGATTATGTCCACATATTTTTAAATATAAGAGTTATTTTTTACTTAATTCTAGAATTACTGTTAGTTTATCATTTTTCTATAATTAAATGGATAACAGTTGTAATGAAGTATGGAGGGTTCGCAAAACAAACAAAAAGCAAGAGTTCTACTGATATTAATAAAGGTTTAAGTACCCAATACCAGTATAATTTAGAGCTAGTGACAATTATTAACAAGTTAACACAAAAATCAAACCTGACTATATCAATGGAATTGGATCACAACTGTCATCAATTGATAAAGGTAACAGTTTCAGTCCCAACAAATATGTTCTATAAACTTCTCTGTTATTATCTGTCTATATGTTTTGTAGATATTATTGGTGATACTTTTTAAGACAGTTAGCATATCCTTCTGGAAAATGTCAATAGCCTATTCATCTTAATTGTTGTTGTCATAAAAATCCATAGTTGTAATAATAACATTGGAAGTCTGATGCTGGCAATGACTTCAATTAAACAAAATAAATCAAGGACACTGAATAAGATGAAAATGTTTTTAAATTAAAGTTGGTAAAAATTACCTGGCGTACATCCGCTCGATAAAATAAAATTATGTGTGTTACCTAGTTTGAAGAGCGTCTCCCACCCTCCCTCAATTCCGTGCACAATAGAATCTATTGTCATCAGTGGTGTGTCTTTCCTAGTGTATTGGTGTTGGGAGTAGTGGTGCTGGGATTAGTGGTGACGGGGATAGTGTACGCAATTGAGCGATGGCGGGAGGTGCTCTTCAAACTAGGTAAAACACATCATTTTATTTTATCAAGCGGATGTACGTGAGGTGATTATTACCAACTTTAACATAATGGATTTCCGCAAAGTAACGTCTGATTCTATTAATTATCCGAAAATGTTTTTTACTCTACTGCTACTACTTTTTTATATTATGTTTTAAAATTTTTAACAAAAGAGTATGTTCGCATGCTTCATTTAATATGATGTTAACGTGAAGTACCTGGACAAACAAGCTCTGCTTGGCATTAGCAAAAAGGAATTCCAGACTTGAAATCTACCTAGATAAACTTCAAAAGTAAAACATTATCTGTACATAATTAATGCATAATTTCATTATGTTCTCACAGGATACCAGCCTAAAATGCAGCTTAATGCTGCTGTGTTTAGTATGGTGAATGTAGACAACTGTAAACTCTTTTTACTGGAAACGAGGCATCTTAGTACTCAGGTGTGACAGTGATGTCTAAGGGCCACTGCATCCACTTACTATAAAAAATCATGTACTAAATTAAGAAATAGGGATAACTCACAAATAACAAGTCCTTATTTTATTTAGTTTTCACTGGTAACTTTCAATCTCATTTTTCCTGTTTCTCTGCACAAAAATTTATTATTCCTGTTAAATTAATTTAAAAGAATTATGTCAAGTGTTAACAAATTTATTTAATTTTTTTTTAATATCTACACTAGATGAACTTCTTATAAATAGTTTTATTAATAGATTTTCTTAAAGTGTGTAAAATGATATTATTTATATACAACTCTTATTTAATTTTTTTATATTGTATTATAAATAAGAACATAAAAAGTAGATTTGTATGTATTTTAAACGTTGCAGTGTCATAAAATGTCGATTATCTTTTCCAACACTTGGTGCTGTAGGTCCAGTTTACTTTTAGTCATTAATAGTTACACATATCTTCCTTTAAGTTTTTTGATATTTCTGATTACCCACTCGATAAACCAGCTGCAGAATTTTCACTTATTTTGCCTAGGGCATTGTCTACAATACCCGTATGACCCGGAACCCATGTAAAAACGACCCTGTTGTTGCCTCCCAGCACGCTTAGACGGTTCACGCAGTCTCCATCTAGCTTCAAGTTCACCAATTTTGATCTCAGCGCTAGCAGTGCTGCTTGAATATCAAGAGTTAATATAGATTATATAGTTAACATAGTGTTTTTGCAGATTGGTTTCTGCACACTGACGTATGGCGAAAATTTTTGTCTTGAAGATAGAGGTGAATCTACCCAAATTCATACTAAGTTTGAATTTGGGGTGTTCCCCATAAATTCCAAAGCCTACGTCGAGGCCCATTTTTGACCCATAGGTACACCATATAAGACTACCGACCTCACAGATGATTCTAACTTTTTTTTTTTAATTTTTTAATTCTTTTGTTAAAAATATATAGTGGACGCATGATAACTGAGATCAGGCATAAGATCGGTGTTTCCTGAATTGAGTCAAACATGGATCTCAATCTTTAGGAAAGCAAGCTCAAACAGCCCTGAGCGTTGACCTTATTACACCAGACAGTGGAGGCGTAGGTAAGAATCGACCTCACACATACAGGAACAGAAACAGAAACTTTTTATTCAATATAGATTATAAATATTACTTATTGAAAATCATTATTTTCTTTAATTACCACTGGTACGAAAGAAAACATCTGTCCTGGGAAAAACCAGCAAGAAACCCTGCTTGACATTTTTTTTTTAAATAACAGCTTACAATCATGTAAGTTACACAGTTTTTTTTATAGGATAGGGTGACAAACGAGCACACAGTCCACCTGATGGTAAGTGGTTGCTGTGGCCCATAGATTCTGACATCTACATTTATCCTCGTTTGCGAATCAAAATCAAAAAAGCAATTATAATAAAAATATTTTTTTTATAGGACAATGGTGACAAACGAGCATAAATTCCTTAATATTATAATAACCCTTTTTATACAAACTGTTTAGTAAAGTTTTTGAACTTTGAGCAGGTCAAATTTTGTATATTTTCTGTGATTTTGTTGTAAAAGCGTATACATCGCCCCAAGAATGAATTACTGACACGGTGGAGTCGAGTAACTGGTACTACTAGCTTATGTCTGTTCCTAGTATTTTCAGAATGAATACCACTTATTTTTCTATAACTACTTTTATTTTTGTGTATGTACATTACATTTTCATAATTGGATTGAGAGGCCAAAGTTAATATATTAATTTCCTTCAAATTTTGTCAGAACGACTCTTTAGGTTTTCAAGTCATAGATTGCCTTATCATCATCATTATCATCATTACAGTCCTTCACAAGTCCACTGCTGAACACAGGCCTCCCCCAAAGAATGCCACAAAGCACGGTCCTGAGCCACCTGCATCCATCGACTTCCTGCATGTCTTACCAGGTCGTCACTCCATCTCGTGGGGGGACGCCCTACACTTCGCCTACCGGTACGAGGCCGCCACTCGAGAACCTTTCTTCCCCATCGGTTGTCGGTTCTTCGAGCTATATGGCCGGCCCACTGCCACTTCAGCTTACTAATCCGTTGGGCTATGTCGGTCACTCTGGTTCTACTGCGGATATCCTCATTCCTAAGTTTATCACGCAGAGAAACTCCGAGCATAGCCCTCTCCATAGCTCGCTGAGCGACCTTGAGCTTCCTCATACGGCCAGCAGTGAAGGACCACGTCTCAGTTCCGTAAGTCATCACTGGCAACACGCACTGGTTGTACGATTTCGTTTTAAGGTTTTGAGGTATGTTTGACGAGAAGATGTGTCGTAGCTTCCCGAACGCTGCCCAGCCGAGTTGAATCCGTCGATTGACCTCTCGGTCGAAGTTGGACTTACCTAGTCGGACTATTTGTCCCAGGTAAACATACTCGTCAACATCTTCGAGCTTAGTGTTCCCAACAACTACCGGCATAGGTGTGACATGGACATTAAACATGATCTTTGTTTTGTCCATGTTCATCTTAAGACCTATCCGTTGGGAAACACTATTGAGGTCATTGAGCATAGTGCTTAGGTCCTCCAGCGATTCTGCCATAAGGACTATATCGTCGGCAAATCGAAGGTGAGTGATGTACTCGCCATTGATGTTGATACCGTATCCTTTCCAGTCCAGAAGCTTGAAAACGTCTTCCAATGCAGCGGTGAAGAGTTTCGGGGATATGACGTCACCCTGTCTTACACCTCTCTGTAATTGGATAGGTTTCGTACTCTGGTTCTGTACTCGGATAGCCATCGTAGCCCTACTGTACAAGCACTTCAACACTTCGATATACCGACAGTCAACTTGGCACCGCTGAAGGGACTGCAGCACCGCCCAAATTTCGACGGAATCAAAGGCCTTCTCATAGTCCACATACGCCAGACATAAGGGCAAATTGTACTCTTCGGACTTCTGTACAATTTGCCGAAGGGTATGTATGTGGTCTATGGTGCTAAAGCCCTTTCGGAAACCGGCTCGTTCGGGAGGCTGGAAGTCGTCAAGTCTGCGCGCGAGACGATTCGTAATGACTCTC